GGGTTTAGGGTTTAGGGTTTAGGGTTGTTTGTTTGCACAGATTTGCCTTGCCCGCGGCCGGCTGACACCCTCGTGTCCGAAAGCAGATCCAAAGGCAGCAGCAGCGGCAGCAGCAGCAGCAGCAAAGGGGGGAGCCGCAGCTGCTGCAGCAGATTCGCCCCCCTGCTGTACCCTGGGGGGCCCCCCATTACAAACCAAACCAGGGGGGCCCCCCTTGAGTTCCTCGAGGGCCCCCAAAGATAAAAGCAAAAGGCGCAGCAACAAAACTAAACGCCGCAGTCCCAGCCCTGAGTACCCTGGGGGCCCCCTGAGGGGCCCCCTTGGGGGCCCCCTTAGGGGGCCCCCAGGGGGCCCCCTTACGGGACCCCCTGGGGGCCCCTTGGGGGCCCCGAAAGCAAAGGTAAGGGGACACAAGAGGGAAAGTAGAAGCGGATTTGGTAGTTTTGTAAATGGCAAAACTAGAGGATGGCCCAGCAGCAGGTCCAGCAGCAGCAGCAGCAGCAGGAGCAGCAGCAGCTGCAGCAGCAGGGAGCAGCGGCGGCGCAAGGCGCAGCAGCGACAGAAGCACTTGAAGCTTTCAAGTCCTTTAAGACAAGGAAGAACCCACGAGGAAATCAGAGACAGAGAGTACGCGCTGCTGCTGCTGCTGCTGCATCTGCTGCTGCTGCTGCTGCTGTATCTGTTGCTGCTGCTGCTGCAGGATAGTGCACTCTCTGCGCGCTCATTTGTACAGTGCCTTCGTCCCCAAAGTAGCGTCGACACTGCAACTAGGGTATAGGATTTAGGGTTTAGGGTGAAGGGTTTAGGGTTTTGTTTTCCCAGGGATCCTCCTGTGGATGGTTTTATGAGGAATCTTGTGGGATTGGAAACGAACGAAATGAAGGAAATTTTGCTCAAGCTGTTAGATTGCAGAAGGTACCTAAACCCTAAACCCTCAACCCCAAACCCTAAACCCTAAACCCTAAACCGTCGGTTTCGTGCCATCTCGTCGTTTCGTTCCAATGTATATATATATACTGTGTATATATAACATAAACCTATCATATATTGTATATATATGTACAAGAATATATATGGGAAACAAACAAATATATATTTGCCAAAATTGCATGCATATGCATGCACAAGTCCGCACTCAAGTGTACATACACCTGAACTTCTACGTAGATGAGTCTGGCCTTCAAAAAGTTGTTGGCGATTTTTCATCATTTCTTTTTTGACATTCATTTAGACACAAATGCGCAAGCATTAAAGCCCAAATTCCCGCGTTTTATCGCACTTTTCCCCGCTTGCATGCATTTGCATGCTTGCATAACTGCATGCAAGTGCATGCACTTGCATGCACTTGCATGCACTTGCATGCACTTGCATGCACTTGCATGCACTTGCATGCACTTGCATGCACTTGCATGCACTTGCCCAATCGCCTGTCTTCCTGTCTTTCTTCCTGCTTGGAGTTGAGAAAATTAGAAGTTTATTTTCCCTTTCAGGGCGCGATATAAAATGCATTTTTACAAAATCATTTCAATGGCTGTCCACAAACACAAATACAAGTGCATTTAAATTCCAATTAATTACAAAAAAATTCCTTTTCTACTCTCAATTAAGGTATTCATTTGCTTCATTTGCTGCTTTGCTGCGCTGCAGACTAGAAACTCAAATCCAATACGACCTGCAGCAGTTGCAGCTCTGCGACTCTCTCCTTTCCCAAGCAAACGCCTCTAAACGGGGGGCCCCTGGGGCTCTTTCGGGGGCCCCCTCTCCCTCGGGGGCCTCTGGGGTCCCCGGGGCCCATAAGAACCCTGGGGCCCCCAAGGCCCCGGCGGCCCCTGGCGTTCCTGGGGCCCTTAAGGCCCCTGGGACCCCTGCAGCTTTTGGGGCCCCTGGGACCATTGGGGTCCCTGGCGTCCCTGGGGCCCCTAAGGCCCCTGGGGCCCCTGGGGCTCCTGCAGCTTTTGGCGCCCCTGGGACCATTGGGACCCCGGGGGCCCTTGGGGCCCCTGGGACCATTGGGGCCCCTGGGGCCCTTGGGGCCCCCGGTACCATTGGGGCCTTTGGGGCCCTTGGGGCCCCTGGGACCATTGGGGCCCCTGGGATGCCCACAGGGGGCCCCAAAGGAGCCTTGGGGGCCCCTATGGGCCCTTCGTCAGCCTTAGTTCAATCACAGCAAGAGCAACAAAGTCTGAAACGGGCTCCTTCGATCAAGGTCGCTAAGCAGCAGCAGCAGCAGCAGCAGCAGCAGGCCAAGAATGCCAACAACCAAGGGGGCCTCTCGCTGGTTGACGCTGCACTTATTGTGGGCCTACACCCCGCGGGGCTTTAAGATATCTTCATTAGGGTTTTAAAAGCCGAAGGAAGGGGGGCCCCCAAACCCTAAGAGGCCCCCTCAACTCCAGAGAGGGGCCCCCAAACTCATATCTAATGCCATTGGACCGTAAGCAGGGGCCCCCAGGGCCTTTGGGGTCGCCTCAATTCCCCTGGGGGCCCCCTCAGGGTTCCTGGGGGCCCCCTCAGGGCACCCCGGGGGCCCTCAGGGCCCCTGGGGGCCCCTCAGAGGCCCCCGGGGCCCCAAACGAAGGAATTTGCCGTGTGTTTTGGGGCCGCCCCAAGTGCAGGAGGCGCCATGTAGCTCAGAGGCCCCTAAGAAAGCCATTTTGGAATATTTCTTTTTGTATATCTTTCCCGAAAAGAAAGGCTTGTTGAAGTCAGATTTGCTTCAAAGTCAAAGTCCTGGACTCCCGGGCCCCAGGGCCCCTTCAAAAATCAATTTGGCTGCAAAATTCAACAACGAAAATCTCCCGCTGGCCCATCCTGGGGCTCCTGGGCCTTCAGGGGGGCCCCCGGCACCCGCAGGTTCCCTAGGGGGCCCCCAGGCAACTACTGGGGCCCTCGGGGGGCCCCTAGGCACCTGTTGGGGCCCTCGGGGGTTCCTAGGCACCTGTGGGGCCCTCAGGCGGCCCGCATGTACCCGTAGGGCCCCTCAGGGGCCCCAGGTACCCGTACAAGCCCTCATGGAGGCCCCCAGGTACCCTGGGGGGCCCCCCTCCCTTGAAGAGTGGCACTTTTTTAGAGCTCGAGACACTGATATGGGGTTTCGAGAATGGTGGTTGCACAGCGCAAAAAGTAAAACTCAATAAGCCCTGGAAAGGGCTAAAGATTGAGTTGAAGGTCAGGTCGCAGGGCCGCTGCGGTGTCTGTACACCGCGGGGCCCACGCCTGGTCAAGGCACAACTTGCATGTGCTGCATGCAAAGCCTCTGCATGCATGCACCTGCTGTGTTCACTTGGCGACTTTTCTCTCCCTGGTTTCTTTTGTTTCCGCAGTTCATTTGCGGGACTCCTCAGTGCACATAAGTGGGGACTTCGACATGTGCATGCAAAATAGCTTGGGTGTGCACTGCTGACAAATACGAACATGCAGGATGCAATAGCCTCGCTCGCTCGCGCATGCACGGTGCATGCAAGCGCATGCACGGTGCATGCATGCGTGCGCATGCACGGTGCATGCATGCACGCGCATGCACCGCATGCACTAGCACTCCTGGGCCCTTCTCCAGCCCCCCACTCAGAGCCTGTGGGCTACACAGGCGCTGCGCACATATGTGCAGAAAGGCTCTGTGGGGCTTTGGGCGGCCGCATGCACGTAGCAGTCAAGTGTACGTACACCCGGAGAGTCTTGAGCATCCTTGAGTGTTCCCGGCTGGCTTTTAGGAGCTGCATGTGCACATATATATGCAGTATGTGTGCGCACACGCACACACACAAATATATGTTCTTATTGCATGCAAAGAAAAAGAGGTGGGGGCACAAAGTATACAATTGTATATGTGTACACATATACATTCGTGTAGAAGTACATAAGGCAAATTTTCCCACGCTGCGCGCATGCACAGCCCTCGTGTGGGGCCCCGGCAGGCAGATCTACAATAGGCGCTGCTGCTGCAGCTGCGCATGCAAGCGAGCTGGCCTGTTGCTAGCAAGAAAGGCAATTTCATTGCTTTCTGCGGGGGGCCCGGGGCCCCCGGGGCCCCGCGGAGGCCCAGCCGTCTCGCGCAAAAGAAAGAATGCCGGAAGAACATGCCATTGCGAAAAGAAATGCTAAATCATGCAAAAAAAAGAAAGAAAGTGTTACTTGCGCGCCTGGCGGCGAGTGAAAGCTCCAGAGAATGGCCCCAAATGCGTTTCTGCGTTTCGCGAAATCCTGGGCGCCGCTGCGCCAACGAAAACCCTTTCAGGACTCTACAGAACCAATAATTTTGTGCACAGAAAGATACTACTTATTTCCACTCAAATTCGAAACGCATGCATGCAGCTACATGCACGCCGGCAGGCTCGCGCTGCCGCGGTGTATGTACACACAGGACCCTTGCCCGCAAACACATTTCTCAACTTTTCTTCTGTCTTTTCCCTCTTTTCAATTCAAGACAGAAGTCCTGCGGAGAAAGAGAAGCTCTTTGCGCCCTCGCAGCCACGCCGGTGTCTGTTGCTCCTCTTGCTTCTCGCGCTGCTGCTGCTGCTGCTGCTGCTGCTGCTGCATCGCTTCCGGTTCCTTCCGCTGTTGTTGCTGCTGCCGCTTCGGGCAGCTGCTCGTGGACCTACAGTGCAGCCGCTTTGTTGCTGCCTGCGCGCTGCGACGGCACCACCTATTCTTCCTGCTGCCGCTGCTGCCGCTGCTGCAGCTGCTGCTGCTGCTTCTGGTCCGTCTGCGTCTCCGCAGCCCTCTCGTCTGCAGGCATACTT